TCAAATTACTGCTCTTTCAGACTTTTCTTCAAGTAGATATATTTTACTGGACATGAAATGCCACAGGCTGTGTTAAGTATTTTTATTTGAATCTCTTAAGCATGCTGTTCTTTTTTTCTTTGGTTTTTGTAGTGTGTGTGTGGTGTATGTGTGTGTGTGTGTGTATGTGTGTGTGTGTGTGTGTGTGTGGTTTTTGCGGTCATTATGGTTCCTGTGTAAATTTTGCATTTTCCCAGAAGTTATCATAAAGTAGTGTAAACCATCACATAGTACATCCAGCACTGAGTGCCAAGAAAAAATTATGTGACTCTAAAAGCTGCCAGTGAGGTGCCTGCAGTCTTGAATGACTCCTAACATGTCTCTAGCCCTAACAACAATGTCACAAGGCCAGTGCTATTTTAAAGAGATCAAACAAAGGGTTTAATCTACACCTTCAGGGCATGTAGGATACAGTACTTGTATGGGAATTAAGGAAAGGGTTTCTTTGGAGCTGGAGAAATGGCTCACCTACTAACAGCAAAGGCTGCTTTCCAGGAAGACTGGAATTCAATTTACCAGTACCCACAGAAGTTCACAGCCATCTATACTGGAAGTGAAACTCACTTCCAGGGGATCTGACATCCTCTTCTTGCCTCCATTGGCACCAGGCAAACAGTATGTTGTAATGTAAATAATACAAACCACAGACACATTAACTAATCCCTTCATTTAAAAATTCCGGATAGTCTTAACTAATCTGCAGACAGTGTCAGTGAACTGTGAGGCATAGCACATCTGAATAGGACAATTAGCTTGTGGCCATGAGCTGCAAGTGTCAGCCCAAGGAAAGGGCCTGTAGGAAAAGCCTACAACCCACATGGGGTGGTGGGAGGGAGCTGGCCGTCTGAAGAAAACCACACATGGTATCATTAGGAAAAAAGATGTGGGGCAGGAACAGCCTGATGGCAAAGCCTCCTGAGTTTGGGTGGCAGTTCAAGACTGTTTACAGAGGCTACATCAGGAAAACCCCAACCTTGCTCAAGGATATGGGGAGATAAAAATAGAAAGCCGAGTCAGTTGCACAGGGACTCCAGTGGGAGCCCAGCCTGAAGCTCAGGCGTGGGCCTGGGCCGGTGGCTTCAAAGTGGCTTTTCCATGAGTTTGTACTTTAATGTTGGGTGTCAAATGTAAACCCATTACTATAACCCAGTTACAGATATTGCAGTTCAAATTTGAAGATCAGAAAAGCAAAGCAACCAAGAAACTAGCTCTTATTTCCACCTCAGACCAAAATGGGAGATTCTGTCTCCACAGATGCTCAGAATGCAATTCTCCTCAAACTGCACTGCTCTACACCATGCCTCACACTGCAATCCTCCCAATCAAGCCTCAGACTGTAATCCCCTGAGTTTCTGTATCTTCCTCCCTTAGCCTTATATTCCTCTCTTTGCCCAGCCACATCATTCCTCTGTCCACCTCCCTAGGACTGGGATTAAAGCATGGGGTCCCAAGCGCTGAGATCCCCTTTGTGTGAACTGCTACTCATTTAGACTGGATCAATTTTGTGTAGCTCAGTATGGCCTTGAACTATCTGTCTCTGGAGTCCTAGGATTAAAGGTGTGTACCACCACTGCCGGTCTCTAAGGCTGCGGCTCACTTCGCATTTTGATTTCCAGTGGCTTTTTAAAAACACAAATAATCTATCTCCACTGACAGCATGTGGTACACAGACATACATGCAGCCATTACCACACAGGCACCAAATCAAATCAAAGTTTTAAAAATAAAAGGCCGTCATAATTTCAGGGAGAAAAGACATGAGTCCCTTCATGGGAAGATCAGGAGCTGAATCCTTACTGAATAAGAGGGTTTTGGTAATGAACAACCTATGTAACCATGCATGGCCACTCTGTCTAATATGACACAGCCAGACAATAGACACTATATTTCAAATTCCCTGGCACCAAGATTCATATGACTTCACTAGAGTAAAAATGTCTCTTTCCCTGACTGCTCTTATTTTCACATGGAAATTTGACTTATCCATGTTGAGTCATCAGTGTGGCACTATTTCAGTTTTCCTTCTATAGAGCTCTCACAAGTCTTTATCTCCTGCCTGACTCAATGAAGGCTTTCTCCCCTCCCACACCTGAGAAATATTACACTTCCTACTTAAAGGGAAAAACATCTGCAAATCAGAGACCTTTAAATTATAATCAAGCCCACTAGCCTCTGAGTGAGCATGGGCGTAACTTGTTTCATGTATTGAGGAATGCCAGAAAAGCTAGGAAAATTTGATGTAGGATTCTCAGGTTAATAAACTCTTATTTTGGAACCACATTTGAATAAAAACATATGCAATTGGAATAGTTGTCATCTCTAAGCCACACATTGTGAACTCCTACGTAGATTGAACTGTGAAGCAAGAAGCCAGATGGTTAACCACATGGCTGTGATAATGGCCATGAAGAAGGCCAATCACAGACAAACTCTCTCTGCTCAGATGCTCATTTGTATTAGAATAAGCAGCTATCCTAGGGTCCTAGGCTTTCTATTATGATAGATTCTGTATTTCCAGGGGATTCTGATACTCCAGCTTTCATCATATATACACCAAAATTTTTGTGCTGATATAAGAGTGACAATAAATGGACACACTCAAGTTCTGAGTTTCATTCCTTTTTTTGTTCCTAAAATTGATTGATTGATTGATTGATTTACTATGTATACAGCATTCAAACATGGATGCCAGAAGAGGGCACCAGATCTCGTTATAGATGGTTGCGAGAAAACATATGGTTGCTGGGAATTGAACTCAGGACATCTAGAAGAGCAGTCAATGCTCTTAACCACTGAGTCATCTCTCCTACCCCTGAGTTTCATTCTTGACAACATTCTAAACAAGAGGAGAAATATATATATCCCCAAACTGACCTTAAATTCGTATCAATAAATGAAAATTCATACCAATACAAAGTATTCATTTCTACAGCATAATCTCCCTTTTACCTTTAAAAGGAGTTTGGTTGTGATCATTAACCATTTATAACCAACCCCATTTAAATTAAAAAAATATAAGAAATATTTGGGAATTTGGGCATTGTTCATTCCAAACTGCTTCCTACTGGTTAGGGATGCTGTCCATACCATGGGGATCATGACAAAACACAGAAACCTGGCCAAGTCCTTGTTTTTGTAATCTGTACAGCTGCATCATCTCAGTTGTCTTAGATGTTGGATCACCTGGGACAGAGTTTCAGTGGGTCTTGCTTAATCAAACCACACTAGTATTGAAGGAATCCATATTTTTACATTTTCTGTGGAAGCAGAAATTCTTTTACCAAGTAACCTGTTCTTATATTTAAATTTAGAAGTCAAAGCATTTTCAAAATATATAAATTGGATTAATTCACTAGCAGTTCTTTTAGCAGTTGTTGCTATCTTGTAGCTGGTCCACTGGGGACTTTCACTACTCTAACATTTTCTTCCTACAGGATCCCATGAGGTTATCGTTGTCTCATTCTGAGAATACACACCATTTCCATAATGTTGACATGACAGGATAATTAACACCTGTTTAGAGTTACTTTTCAATTGTTTAGGGTTGGCATTGGAAGGAGGTATTCAGACTTGGGCATCTCTTTCAGAGGTTTAGATGGAATAGATATGCTTAGGATGGGATATAGGTAAATTATATCTTCTGGTGATTTTTAATCTGTTTATCACACAATTCATCAGACTGTGTAAAGTCTTCTTTATATGCATAAATATCCTTATCATCTTCTATGTATATATGTTTTATATATGTTTGAGATATTTTGTATATTGACACAATCTAGTTTTGTTTCAAGACTAAATATTTTCATTACACTAAAAGGGGAATTGTAGGGAGATATCTTAGATACCTGTGCTGCTGACCATGCCTGCTCTGGGTGTGGCTACAGACGCATATGGACATGGGAATAATAGACTGTACAGGGAAGACGCAAGCTCTCTTTCAGGCTTCCTGTCTGGTCTGGGAAAGCTGCTGACTCACCTGGGTTGCCAGATTCTCTCATAGCTTCCACAATAAATAGTTGCCTATACCCTCATCAAGCGATTTATGTGTGCAATTTACTTTACAGTGACACTCCTGTATATGACCTCACTTCTCCCTATTAAAATAGTAGTATTTACTGTGTACTCTTAGTTATCAAAATAATATGGCATCTTTGTCACTCTCAGGAGCTCATGGTAAAGAGATGATTTTCTTTTTCAGAAGAGATCTTGAACTTTGGAAGAGTTAAAACTAGAGGATTCTTGAAGATGGACTAAATGTATTTTGTGTTAGGAGATGTCCATTAGTCATTAAGGGCCAGGGGTGCATTGTTCTGGTTTGAATCTGAAATGTTTCCAAAAGTCTTATCTTTTTAGTACTTTTTCCTCAAATAGAAGCCCTATTTGAGAAGTCTGCCAAACTTGTAGGAGGCGGAGCATAAATAGTAGACATTGGTCTCATGGGGTGAACCTTTCATGATTGGTTATATTGGCCCTAGGTTCCTACTGCTGTATGGTCTTCCTGGTCTTCCATGATGTAAACATTTACTCTTGTCATGAAATGAAGCTACTCTGCCATGAATACCCCACCACGATGATACACTGAAATCATGTGAAACCATGTAGCAGTAAAAATCTTTCATTATATATGTAAGAGAAATATGTATCAATGCCAAAATGTAAAGGATACATAGAATCTTTAAGATCAGAGCTATGATTATAGTCATAATTAATTTCAACCAACAATGTCCACTCTATCCAGTATGGCCTGAGACTGACACAGAATCTTACTGTATCAATTGGATTAAAAGAGGATAGCAACTGGGGATCTTATTTTGAAAGAAAAATAAGCAAAGTATGGTGAGGAGATAGACTCTCTCACCCATCAGTGGGCATGCAAGAGATGAAGGAAAGTTGGATGCAGGAACCCACAGGTTAAAGGATGTCTGTTGGTTACCTTGACTTTCTCAATTCTTTTTTCTTAGGATGAACCAAAGAATGGAAATTGATGCATGAAGCCACATATGCAACTTAAGGTCAGAGTTTTCTCAGTGTACCATTGGTAATCCAGAGTTTAAATCTGCCAGTGTCTAACATAAATGATAGTTAAAAGCTCAGAACCATTGAGAGAACCAAGTCTTATTCAGTATGCTCAAAATCATATTTTTTCAGTGGAGTAAGCCAGTTTTCCATGACTGGGCTGAAAGAGGGTCCCTTAGAAAGCTGTGCGGTATGTGTTAGTGCTAGGGTACAGGGAAGCATGTACACAGAAGCAGGGTTCAGAGAGGAACTGTGGAAGCAGAGTGGAGAGTGATGTTGGTTTAGGGAAATCTACTGCACTCTGCTGTCACAGAGGCTGGAAGATAATTTGAAGGGGACCCAAACAAAAGAGTTTGTGCAGTCCCCTACTGTGTGCATGGTTGGATCTAAAGGAGAAACTTAAGATGATAAAATGATTTTTAACCAATCTGAACTATGAGACCCTCTAAGGTCTCAAAGAGAACTAGTCCTGTATATTGTCTTGTGGTACAGAAAGCTGAGAACCTACTAATGATAATTTTGTGGGAATTCAGACTCAAATTTTTTGCTCCAAAAATACTATTCCAACCTACCCATCTACACTAAGCAGTCTTCTAACACTTACTGATTCCATGTTGGGAATATTGTTAGATCTCAAAAACATGTACTTGCTCTAGAGAAAGTAGGCCAAGATTGGACTGTGAGAATTCCTTGATCTCATAGTTTGATTTTCTCAACCCTATTTCCAGAAACAAAACACTACCCTTTTTTTGTTTTCTGTTTTGTTTTGTTTATTTGTTTGTTTGTTTGGTTGCTTTGGGGGTTTTTGGTATTTCAAAACAGGGTTTCTTTATGTTACAACTCTGACTGTCCTGTAAAGAGCTCTGTAGACAAAACTGGTCTAGAACTCACAGACATCCACCCATCTCTGCTTCCCAAGTGCTGGGATTGAAAGTGTGTTCCACTACCACCTGTCACATGATATTTTTAATATGTGAAGATAGCAGTAATCAGTTTTGTAATTTCCTCCTCTAGGTTAAATAGATACAGCATTTGTGATCTATAGCATACTTTGAAATTTGCTCAGCATTTTGATTTTTCTGTTTTGTAAGTTCTCTGCATCTATAGATGTTGCCTCAAATTCATTTACTTTTCTTTTATCTGCATGTTTTCTTATAAGCTGAATGTGTAACACATGTGTACCTGGTGCTTTCAGATAACTGGAAAGGTCCTCTGTAATAATATCAAGTGCTCTCAAGTCATCTCTCCAGTGTGGATGTTGCCTTAGAAGTAAACTGTTGATTTTCCTGCATAGTTATTTCTTTTTATGATGTTTTGTTATTTCCCTGGATAGCAAATTTGACCAGATACAAACCTTTCAGTTTATCTACAGTTTTATTCTTCTAATATATTATTTTTATTTTCTGTATAATATATTAGACAGGGTTTCATAGCCCTGAAAATTTATATGAGATAATGAAAAGAAGGAAGTATATTGGTTTCTTCTAGGCTGAAAGAAAAATCCATTCATCTAGGATCTAGGAGCTATGTCTACAACAAAATGCATAAACTGACATTTTAGAGGACAAGAAAAAAGTCATCCTTACTTTGCATCCTGGTTGTATTTGAGAGGACTCTGAGGAGTAGAGCCCATATAAACACATTAGATAAACAATATTTAAGTAAAAGAAAAGTGAATTTTGTCAAGTGGTATCTGAAATAATTGCACAAGCACATATGGTTTTATTTAAGTTGTTTTCTTTCTGGCAGCTGTGAATGAATCCTGAGAGAGCTCACTCCAGGCAAATATGCTTTAATACACACATCAGCCTCAAGATAGCTTCCTTTCTCTGTGGGATCATAGAAAAGTTGGTTGTGGCATTAGAGAATTCATGTCAGTCAGTCTTACTATACATATGATAGGACTCTACTCTGACATACCAAGGTTAAAAGGAAAAGACAGTTTTCTAAAACGGTCTAACAGGTTTTTGCTGTTAAAGGCAGATATTAAGAAAACTTTAAGTTTCAATAACAAATTCTTAAATCAAATAATAAAGATTCCAACATTAGGACTCTTTAGAAGTTTTAATGTGTTAAAAATATTTTTGAGTCACTAATTTAAACCAATGAAATAATTGGGAAAGAGTGCCTATAGTTATCTTGATATTTTATATAGAGATACATTATAATTATAGTAATAGGATCTTGAGTCACACTTCCTGCTTTCAAAATCTCATCCTGCTTCCTGGTGTCTGTACCACTTTGGATGAGTAAGATGAGAAAGTAATGATTCATCTAATCATAATGATTCGTAGTGAGACTTAAAATGCCGGAGGTGCTCTTATGTTGTCTTATATGTTATCATAAAACTTGTCTTAAAATGTTAGACTAAATAGTCTTTCCTTTGTTCAACATACACTACAAAGATTGTTCTTTGTGCCCAAGTGCAAATTGTTGAGGATATCCCAGAATTCTTGTGTTTGTAAAGATATTATTCTCAAAGTCAAACAGCCCTAGGAAATTCCATTTTATGGAAGTTTTTATTCCATCTAAAGGGATAAAATGACTACAGTGTTTGGGTGGAGGCAACAATGTCACCATGTTTCAGGAACCACCCATCCAGCACAGACAGGTAAAAAAACTTATTCCTGGAAATTGTTTATTAGAATGAATTGAGACAGTGGGGAACCTGACATCTTAAAATCATAGCAGGAAAGCAGGCCCACAAATTTATCAGGTACACAAGCTGGAAGCAAAGGTATTACTCTGTGTGTGTGTTAGATTCCACAATGTGAGACCCCTAACACTGCAATAGGGAGGACCTACTGTGTATATCAAGGACCAGAAAGTAGGAGACATCCCTGGTACTTCAACTCAATTAGGTCTCCTCCTGCTGCTATGTCCTACTCCACAAGTTGACCATTCAGGACACAGACCTGAACCTGCAAGTTCCTGCTTCTAACCCAGTGTGGACCTTCTCCTCGGAGTGGAGGTAGGTAGCTTTGTTTACAGACCTTGTCTCTAGTAGCTCTACAAGCATCTCCCTCCAGGCACAGACCTGATTTTTATCTTATAGATTCTCTCTCAACCAACTTTAGAAAGCTTCTGAACTCTGCTCTAACTTGTCAAACATATTTTTAAGGTGGTATACATATCTGCATATTTATAGATGTATTTACTATGTATCATGTGATAGAACCCACCTATTATTCAAGTTTCCTCTTCAGTGTTGAACGTTTCTACTGACATAAATTTATGACTTGTGAAGTGTACCTTTGAAGTTCCAAAATACACATAGAGTATAGGTGATAACAAATGTAGTGAACAGAAACCTGTGAAAGTTATCTTGACATCAGCAATCTTTATTACTTTGTTGCAACTGCTAATAAGGACCTTGTGTATTGTCTGGGTTAGATTGGATATGTGTATAAGACATGCATGAGAACATCCCACTTCTTCCACATTCTTCAAAATAACTATTAGCACATTATGCTCTAGAGCTAAATTCTAGTGCTGTATTATAACTACATAACTTTAGACGAAGTGTTGATGTGCAGTGTGGTGAGGATAAAAATAATAACCTGACTGAGTCTGTTTTACTACTTGTTAGACTTCTGAGGCAGTGTCGAGACAGAAACAGAAAAAGACAAGAGTCTGACCTTCAACAGATGAGACTATTTTTTTAACACACAAGGGAGGGGCAGCCTCTATTCTGAAGGAAATTAAGGAGTCTGCCAGAGAGAGGGTAAGCTGGATGCAATCCTTTCAGGGGCAGAACAAAGGGCTTGGGATGAGGAAACTGTTGCAGCCTCAGTGGGTTAAACCACTCTTGTAGCCTCACCTTCCTAAAATTCTTCATCCAAGGGAAACAGTCTGTCTCAACAGATATTTCTTTCTGTGTTGACTGATGACTGAGGGAGGTTATCTGTAATCACATGGGAATTTACTACTAAGGTTCCCAATATCTACTTAGCAAAATAAACAATAATTCATAAATCTTACACATCGAAAATGCCTACAGCATAGCTGTGACTTGATTCCTAGTGCATTAGTCACTATAATTGCTATCATCATTATTCTGTTTTTATATATTTTCAAAGATGACATTGTACTCTTTTTTTTCCTTTTTTTTGAGTCTACTAACATGGCTCCAGGATCGTCTGTCACTGCAGTTGTTGTCATAGAAATATGACAGCATGAGTTTGTTCCATTTACACAGCCCTTTCCTGAATCTTAGTTAATTTTCCACACTACTTAAAAGTAGATTAACAAATAAGCAATAACCAATTTGTTTGAGATTTAAATATCTACTAAAATTCCTATGGTTCTTCTCTTCCTTCAAATGAAGAACTATTCCCTTTGGGGAGGAGGAGTGTTAGTGCTAGTAGGTAGAAGTGCTCACATTTTTCCATTTTTAGATCAGCAAAATTTCCTTTCAAATTGACTATGTACATGCCATATGATACTGAGCATTATATAATGGAAATAAATGACATAGAGTCCCAGTGCACGTGGGGTCCATTTTTGGTTTTTGTGATTCTATCTTTCTGTTGCTCTATTTCAGTCTATCTGGATATTAACAACTTTGAAAAGGAAGCCATAAATCAAGCCTGACAAGTTTGCAGTCACTAGAACAACACAGAAGGGACAAAATAGCTGAGAGCTTGCCTTGGCAGAGAGGCAAGGTTTTGAGATGGCCTGTTTCTCTCTAAGAGTGTGTATAAGTGACATCATTCTCTGGTGATTTTTGCTAATTTTATGAAAGTGTATGTTTAGGGTGGTTTTGAACCCTCACAGTAAACTGTGGGCTTCTCACACATTTAATAGGTTGTGTAGATGAGGGATGCTGTACTCGGAGATGCCAGAAACTCCCAGGATATCACTCCTCAACCACTGTCAGAAACTTATCTCTCTTGGTCTTTTTTGAGCTATTTGTCAGTTCTATATTATATTCATAACGGTCTCAGACTACATCACACAGCACACTCCTTGAGAATAGAAAACATTTCTTACTCGTGTTCCCTTTGCTGCTTCTGAATTGCTAATCAGAGGAATTAACAGTTAACAAATCCACTCAAAGTGCAAACTGATGGCCTCGTGAATATGAAAGAAAAGAAGGGATGAAGAGTAACTTACACATTGAGGGAAAACAACCTGTAGTCTGAAGAAACACTTGTCACCATCTCATCAGACACTTCGTGAGACAGGCGCACACTGCCTTTTGGTCAATGCATTCTCAGGAATGTTACATGTCAGTAGCTATCCAAAGTGGGAGAGATTGCTCAGTGGTTAAGAGCACTAACTATTCTTTAAGATGACTACACATAGAGGTCCACAAACATCTGCCACTCCAGTTCCAGGGCATATGATGTCCTCTTCTAACATCTGTAGGTAAGAAGCACTCATGTGCTATACATTCAGGCAAAATATTTATGAATATAAAATAAAAGTAAACCTTTTCAAAAAGTAAAACAAAGAAAAAAGATAACAAATCAAAACATGATTGTCTTGTCACTTCTGGAAACTTAAACTTGGCTACAGCTCTCACAGGCTGATCAGTCCAGTGTTCACAAGAGTTGTCAACAGAGTAGCAAGCACTGGTGGGACCTTAGCACTGCAGAACACTTTTTTTTTTAATTTTTATAATGAGTTGTGGTTTTTTAAATGTTTTTAACTTATTTATTTATTTTTTCAATTTCATGTGCATTGGTGTTGTGCCATGGGTGTTGGGTCCCCTAGAACTGGAATTACAGACAGTTGTGAGCTGTCATGTGGGTGCTGGGAATTGAACCCAGTTCTCTCGAAGAGCGGTCAGTGCTCTTAAACATTAAGCCATCTCTCCAGCCTCATAGAACATCTTCTTAAGCCTCAAAGCAATAAGCACTGATTTTGGCAGAGATAATTGTAGGAATGAAGTGAGGAAAAATAATATTAACTTTCCTAATAAGTAAAGTCATCAAAGAAATGACAAAATGATTTACTCTCCTCTTAATAGTCTGATTTTTCTAGCAAAATACTTCAGATAGAACCAAGGCCCCCCTGACCCCTTTAAGTTTAATAGGCAAGAAGCACCAGAAATGTATGTTTTTGAAGGCTATAGAGAAAACGTGGAATGTCAAAGCAACACTGATAAATATAGCTCCTGTGAGCACAGTGACAAACGCTCTCCCTTATTTAATGCAAACCTGTCAAGTGGGATGATATTTCCAGGAACGATGCAAAAAATTCACAGTAGGAGTAATATATATATATATATATATATATATATATATATATATATATATATAGTTATCCAGTGCAGGACTGAATTTTTTTCCATCTAAAGCAGAAGCAGCATATTTGTAGACATTTGTGGAAACTCCAGACCTGGCGAGTTTCACCTGGATTCACACCCTTAATATCACAGAGGTGGTGAAAGCATCACTTCAAGGACACCCATCAAGTGCAATGCTTAAAAAACAAACAGGAAACCAGGTAGGACTCCTTTAGTAAAGAGGAAGAACCCTCTCAATCCCGAGTCCTTACTGAAATTACATTAACTGTTTCAACAGTATTTTTCATTTCAGTTCTTTGTAAACCTGACTGAGGCAAAGAACCCATATTCAAAACCATATGGGTTACGAGGCAAGGGACTTTAAAAGTAGAATTTAAATTTTATCAAAGTGTAAATCCAAATGAGATAGTTTAGATTCAATGGCCTATATCACCAACAGGACACCAGAGTTGTTTCAGTTAAAAACAATAAATGTTGTTAGTTAGATTCATGTTACTATAGCAAGCCCCAAGGGTGACTAACTTAGAAATAAGACTTAATAAATGATTTCAGAGATTTCAGTAATTGTCAAAGTAGCACCTAATGATGGAAGCTTGTGGGTGAATCAGTTTCTTATCTCTGGATAAGAAGCAAAAATAAGCAAAAAGAGTGACCAGACTTCTGATGTACTCATCATTTTTTAAGACATACCCCAGTTAACTAACTTCCTTGTACTATGTCCCACAACCTAAGGATTTCACTACATCTCGATAGTGCTATGGTCAGAGAATTAAACATTTAACACATAGGCTTTTTTTGTGGATAGTTGGCATTTAACAATAGCCGCTAAAATATCAATTTTTAGTATTTTTTCAATCAAGTATGTTCATAATCCTTTTTTGTTGTTTGAAATTATAATGCTTTTACTTCATGTTCCTTTCTCTTTCCTCCCTCTAACATGTTCCATGCATCCCCCTTGCTCTCAAAGTATGGTCTCCTTTTATTTAAATGTACATATATGCTATACACACACACACAAATATATATATATATATATATATATATATATATATATATACAACATACATGTCTGTATACATATAACAAGGATCAAATGTTTTATGAGTGGATCATTTACCAGGAATATGTAAACAGTTTTGGACTCACTCCACATTTAGTTCAGAAGAGCTTTTGCTCTGACAAGCTTAAGGGAAAGTCATGCCTCCTTGAACGAATAAGAAGGGGAATGAACTGTCTTCTCAATGCACATTCATCTCTTCTCAAGTCACATAACTGTGGCCTGAGGCAGCAGCTGACGAGTTTCACCTAGATTCACACCCTTAATTTCATGGAGGTGGCCCCCAAATAGAACTTCATCTCCCACAAACTCATCAGTGTCATTAAAAAATATGATCCCAAAGTTATACTATATAAAGAATACAATTATTTAAGCAAAGCTAAGTTCTTCAAAATAAAATCTTCTGTGAAGTTTATCTAACACTGTTATGACAAAACTCTTGTGTTTTCCAGAAAATAAACATACTATGAACAGGATCAGTGATAGAATCTGCTGTATCTCAACTCCAAATCACCACATCACTTCTGTGACTTACTGAGAACCAGTGACCTCACAGGAGTCTGGATTTAAAAAGATTGTCTATGAAGTCTGGCAAGAAGTGTTTTTCTACTGGTAATCAGGTTTGAAGAAAAAGTGCTGCCAGGTGGCTCATCTCAAGATTAAATGGATCAGGGTCAGAGAAAAATTTCAAAATGTGTTTCTGTCTTTTCCATTTTATCATCTCTCTGAAAATATTTGACTTAAAAACAAACATTCTGAAAATGTGCTATTTTCTTGGAAGAGACAAACAAATGCCAATCAGTGGGTTGGTAACATCTGTTTGTTTGTACACATGCACACAGTGGAATACAACATGTCCTCAGTTTTTACAATGCATCAAATATGTGCTCAGGGCAGTGATTGTTCTATACCTCCTGGTATATTATACCTCAAACACATTAGGAAATTATCATTGTACTTTTGAGAAAAGGTAGAAGTACTGATAATGTCATCACCAATAAAATAAATTATAAAACTTAAACAAGAATGATGATGTTGGAACTTATATAGAGAATACAAATTAAATTAAAACCCCAAAATGGGCTCAGCCATGACAAAGACCATGTTGTCTGATTTACATGTAGTTAGCAAAGCTATTTCCTTAAAGTAACGTTTTCCATAGCACAAATTGGTACAGGGGACCGCATCCTGAAAATAACACCATTATCACAGATACTGATATCAACAATTAATAAATGGGACCTCCTGAAACTGAGAAGCTTCTGAAAGGCAAAAGACACAGTTAACAAGACAAAATGACAGCCTACAGAATGAGAAGATATTCACCAACCCCACAAATGATAGAGGGATGATCTCCAAAATTTACAAAGAACTCAAGAAGCTAGTCTCCAAAACACCAAATAAACCAATTAAAAAGTGGGGTACAGAACTAAATAGAGAATTGTCAATAGAGGAGTCTATAATGGCTGATAGACACTTAAGAAACTGTTCAACATCCTGAGCCATCAGGGAAATGCAAATCAAAACAACTCTGAGATACCATCTTGCTCTTGTCAGAATGGCTAAAATCAAAAACACCTATGACAGTTTATACTGGAGAGCATGTGGAGAAAGGGGACACTCATGCACTGCTGGTGGGAGTGCCAACTCCTACAGCCATTTTGGAAAATAGTATGGTGGTTCCTCAGGAAAATGGGAATCAGGCTTCCACAAGATCTAGCAATTCCACTCTTAGATATATACCCAAAAGATGCACACTCATACAACAAGGACATCTGCTCAACTAGGTTCATAGCAGCATTATTCGTATTAGTCAGAATCTGGAAGCAACCTAGATGCCCCTCAACCAAAGAATGGATGAGGAAAATGTGGTACATTTACACATAGAGTATTATTCAGTGGAAAAAAACAATGAAATCTTGAAATTGGCAGGCAAATGAATGGAACTAGAAGAAGCCAGGTTGAGTGAGGTAACCCAGTCATAAAAACACAAACATGGTATGTACTCACTAATATGTGGATTTTAGACATAGAGCAAAGGATTGCCAGCCTACATTCCAAATCACCAGAGAAGCTAGGAAACAAGGATGACCCTAAGAGAGACAATTTCCTGTGTATACTCCTCTCACAGATACTTCAAAAGGACAATTTTTTAAAGATCAAATCAGGGCACATGAAAGTAGAACCAATCCTGGTCATGACTCTCTTAATATTAGCCAACTGTTTGCAAAAGTTCAATATCCCGCAAGAGAAAACATAGCTGATACTCATTTCTATGATGCTCAGAGGAAGAAAGCTATATTCAATTATAACACTATATGCACCCGTTTCCTCAAACATAGTCAAGTGAAAGTAAATGGGCTGCATATGTATTAGCCAAATCCTGCATGACCAGCCCAGAATGGCTGTACAGGCCTGTTAATCCAACACCCTGAAGGCTGAGGCAGGAGATCTCTATGTCTTGTGAGCCTCTGCTACATAGGATGACCACATATAAGCAAACCAAAAAAAATTGGAATCACAAGAATAAAATATTCAACAGCTCCTAGATTTGATGGGAAATGCAGAAGTACTAGGCAATAAAATACTAGGCAATCTACTTCTTCGCGTTACTCTCTTAATGAAAGCTAGAAATCTAACCAAGGATGAGGGTAGAGATCTTATTTCAAACACTTCAATATTATATGAGTCAAAGTAAACGGTCATGGCAAACAAGTTATTGTTGCATTTGCATTTGCTGGACATAAATCTGTATCACTGGTCCCTGCACTGAATGACAGTTCAGTCACCTCCTCCTCACCACAAGCTAAGTCCAGACCCAATGTCTGTTATCAGAGCCTGTCTGAGCACTGCTTAGATACCAAAGGTTTCTTGAACATGAGAGGCAAGAAAAGGCTGAATATTCAGGACAAAATATTGTGAATCAGAATGGAAAAAATCTACCTTTTAGCAACAGGGAAACAGTTGGTTAAGGAAATAGTTTTAAATACAACCCATATCTTATCATAAATAGTGAATATGTCTCTCATAGTACAATAAATAAGAGAAAAACAATCATTCAAAGGAAAGAAGAAAATTTGAAGTATGAAACCCTAGAGTCTCAAAGGAGAGATGAAATTTACAGTCCAGATAAGAGATGACAATTCAATAAAAGGGAGATGTTATCTTCCATTAGAAAAGAAGGTAAATACCAATGTAATCAGAAGTATAAACAATTTGTTTATTTACAGCAGAAATATGAGATAGCTCCTCTGGGTGGCATTCATTTCATGAACAAAGAACTATAGCATCTGTAAAGAGGAAATAATGCATTTTAAGAAGATTACAAAAAATATCACACAGAAAAATAAGAAAGCATGTAAGGGAGAATGAGGTCAATAAGGACTGTTGACTAACTTTCCCTAAATAAAGCTTTATGCTCCATAGGAGCAATGAGAGCTTAAAGCATGAAGGAGAGTGCCTCAGCTGGGTGGTAGAATTACTACATAGCATGTGCAAAGCTCTCTTTTGCAATCCCTGCCCTGGAGAGGGAGGTAGGAAGAAGCGGGGGAGAAAGCCAGAAGCTGAAACACCAGAAAGTGATCACTCAAGATAACACCTGTATTGTAATTAGAATACTGCACAAGAACTGCATTGTTCTAAGTGCCCTAGTACCTTCCAAATCTCCTTGGCTCTCAGTATCCTTGCAAACTAATGGCTCCACGGTGACAGTAGGAGCAGACGTATTAGCAGCCACAGACGATGGTGGAATGTCCTTCAAGCTGCTGAAATCCCATTATTTTACTTTTCAAGAAATATGGAAGATTGTGCTTGCAAAGATTTTTCTTGACTGATGTGACACAGAGCTTTAAATTAGTCTTGAAACAAAAAAAGCCTACCCCTTTTAATGTTTGCCTGAAGACCTACTCTAGAATATACTTCCCAGAAAGGTGAGAAAAAAATGACTTATCAGCCTACAGACATTAATAGCCCATGCATTTATGATGCTGTGTACATTAGTATCATTCACTGAAGAAGAAAACACAGAAAGAGTTGTTTGTCCTTAACAGTTAATTTAATTTAACATGTGAAATAATTAGTGGAAGTATCTGAGAGAGGGCCAAAGGACTGGGCATGATTGTTAAGAAGGTGCCACCTCAGTATCTCTAGCAATAGGTAACACAGAAGTCAGCAACCACTGATTTTGATAACTCAGGCATCTCTGGTAAGCTTACCAAAAGGATTTTATTTTTATCAGAAGGAAGAAATCTGTTCTCCGATGGTTTGGAGGATTAAAGTGGATTCCTCACAAAGGCATAATTATTATTGTTATTCAAAAACTTGAGAGAATGAAATATTTATAACAGAGTTATTACATGGGGAGTGCATAGGGAGATTACCTTTATGTACCATCACCAGCAGAAACTAGACCTGCAAGGTCAGGGGTGCTGTTAGACCTGAAAGGTTGAGGTGCTGCTTGACCTGCAAGGTTGGGCGTGCCACCAGATCTGAAAGGTCAGGCATGTTGGAGTTCAATATTAGTTTTGCATGGAGAGGGTGAAAGAGAAGGAATGACAGCGTCCTTTGTTCAAATCAAACTGTTAAGGACTCTGATTTCCAGGAAATGATCTAACAATGTGCTAATTTCAAGCCAATGGAATTTCATATAGCAAACTATGCTAAATTATGTTTATTTATAGTATTCATACATATGTTAATCTGAAAGTCGGTCTACACCACATTAAAAAATAAATACCGGACATAGTATAATAGCACTTAAGTCCACATCATTGTACATTTTATGTATTTTATTTTCCTTAATTATTTTCTATGAACTCCTCAGAGCTCTATGAAAGTAAATTCCTATGTTCTCTTGTATTTCTTGCATGTTAACTTTCCATGAATGTGATATGGAATGGTCTAATCAACATTGCTGCTTGGAGTACATATATCTTATTTCAAAAAATCTAAATACTAAGAACCAACTTCATGCTTAGAGACGACTCCTTCTTGTTACCTTGAAAATAGTTCACAGTGACTCTTATTTTATATTACCTTTTTTCTCTTAAAACTAAAGATGGTTATAAGTTCTGGTGGTTCTGAGATTTTTATAGTTGCTTAAGCTATTATAAATCTTTTATAAATGTATGTACATTTGCTTATATCTTTTTAATATTTTAGATCTTTATGTTAGCTATTATTGGAATGTAATGAATTACCTGTGTATAAAACGGTTGGTTTTTGATGGTACAATAAAGCAAAATTTATTCACAGTTTGTGTTACTAAATAAATAAATAAATAAATAACACTTTGGGAAATATACCAAAGCAAAGTCCACTCACATCTGTTCTCACGCCAGCAGAGGACATTTTCCCACAATTTATTTTTGACATGTCATTAAAAACTTTAGTATGTCTTTGCTGTAGAAGAGTTCCCAGTTATTGAATTCTATTGCTTTATCTTCCAACAGAATTGGGTGTAAGAATGTAAATTTACCGTTATTTAATTTCAGTATTTCCAACACTAAAGGCACAATTTGACCAAGTGATTAAATCTTGCTTCAGTTTCTCTTTGATGGAAATTTTATTAATTACCTTCATAAATTCCAAATTCTATTCTGTGAAATAACCCAGTATCTTTTTTCTACTACTCATTTGAAAAGCATTAGGATACATAGGGTTGTGAAAAAAATTA